AAAAAAAATTATGACCTTATGTCATCTTACAGGTTTACTCTTCTCCTTAGATCACAGACCTTCATCCTAATTTTACTTATATACAAAAGAATCATTTTTTAAAAAGGTTCTATTTGGTAAACACTAAAAAATGTGTTTATTTCACACTGATTCTTGAAAAGTAGTTTCTCTGGGTGTAGAATTTTAAATTGACAGTGCATTTTCCTTATTAATTTAAATATATTAATCCACTGTTTCAGCTGAGAAGCTTGCTGTGTCTTTTTTTTTTTAGCTATTTTAACAAAAGTTCACAGAGAACATAGATTTCCATTCATTGTTGCATACTTTGCTCTCTATCCCCCCCTCCCAGTTTGTTTTGCAGCTCTTAATCTGGACTGTTGTCATACATTCCTCCCAAACAGCTCCTTCCCTCATCTGTTTCAATGCAGTATACATCATCGATCCCTTCTTTTCTTAATTTCCCCCAAACCCGTCCTATTTTACAAAAGTGGCACTATGCAGTATTTGTCCTTTTGTGATTGAAATATTTCACTCAGCATAATGTCCTCCAGGTCACCCATTTTTTGCATATTTTATTAATTCCTTATTTTTCAATGCTGCATAGTATTCTGTTGTGTGGCTATATAGCAGCTTCTCTATCCATTCATTTGTTGATGGGCACTTGGGGTGTTTCCATCTCTTTGTGCATATATCTGTTTAGGTGGAAGGTAGATTCCCAATAGTGTAATTGCTGGGTCAAATGGTATTTTTATTTCCAACTTTTTAAGAAAGCACCGTTTTACTGTGAATACGGCTTCCAGTTTCTCCACAACCTTGTCCGCATTTGTTGTTTGCTGTTCTGTTGAATTTTGCTATTGCTGCTGGGGTGACATGATAGCTCATAGTTGTTTTTCATTCATTCTTTTGATAGTACTCTTTCACTGCCCTTTGGCTGCTTTTAGAGACTCCCTGTCTTTGGTTGGTAATCAGCAGTTTCACTCTTAGTGTACATTTGCTTGGAATGCATTTGGCTTCTTGACTCTGAGAACTGATGGCTTTGTGATTAAGCAGTTGTGCTCCCAACCCAAAAGGCACACTATTCGACTCCAGCAGGTGCTCCACAAGGCAAAGAGGAGCAGTCTCCTCCTGTGTGACTTACTGCCTCTGAAAACCTGCTGGAGGGTCGGCTCCTACGTGATGGTACCAACAACTGAATGATCCTTTTAGATCCTTTTACTCATAGTATGTCTCCCTCTCTTCGTGTTTCTTTTTGCTAAGCTCTCCTTTTTAATGTTTATAGTAGTTCCTTTTGTATATTTAAGGAAAAAAGACACCTGAATACAGGTTTTCCACTGTTAGCTGAAAATGTAGTATTCTTCTGTCCTTTAAGCCAAAATAGCATAAAAGGAAAAAGTAGGGGGAGCTCTGGTGGCCTAGTGGCAAGGAGCTGCAACTACAATCCCAGAGGCACACAGTTCAAATCCACCAGATGCTCTGCCGGGAAAAGGAGGGACAGTCTCCTCCTGTACCAGTCAGATCTGATTTGACGGTACACTCACACAAAAATTTAAAAAAAAAAAGGAAAAAGTAATTAACATTCACTTTAGTTTACTTGAGGAAAATTTTCTAGCATTCTCAGACAAAAAACAAAATCTATGAAGAAACACAAAACTTAATGTAAAGCTAGCCTATACTGAAAGTAGGAAAGATGTTAGGAATACGCAGCCTATGTAAACCATGCCTGTTTAGTTGGTTTAATCCTAGTGACCCACTCCCACTGCTTGGCCGCCTGCTGTAAAATAAAAGCTGAACCTAGTTTTCACTTTTCACCCCTTTTTTTGCAAAAAGGAAAATCCTCTTTGGAGTTCTTTGGTTAGCAGAAACGGGTACTACAAAGCAGGGGATACTGTATAGCTTATGGTCAGGACTTCGGTGGAGAGACTTTTCGTTTTCTTCTCACAGGCTTCAGTGTTCAAGATCTTTTGTCCGTCAAGTGAATTGTTTTGTACCAGAATTTTCACGTTTCTACTCCATGCTCCACTCGTTTTCAACAAAACGTATCCTTTGATCTCTTCCAGTGTAGCTGTTGTTTCTGCAAGGGCCTTACTTTCTCTTGTGCTGTTTCCTCAGCTCACATTTTATCTCCTTCCTTTGTTTTTCTATCTCTGCTTTGAATTTGTTTTGCAGTTTCTCTAATAAATGCTCATACGCCTTTTGTTCTTTTTTTGTTGTTATTTTATTATTATGTGTGTGTGTGTGTGTGTGTCTGTGTACCGTCAAATCAGATCTGACTGGTACTGGAGGAGATTGTCCCTCCTTTCCTGGCAGAGCAGCTTCTTGCCACTAGGCCACCAGAGCCCCCCTACGCCTTTTGTTCTTATAATAACTTTGTTTAGCTCTGGTGTTGGTTCTTTTTTGGATTACTGATTCCTGCTTGGAAGGAGAGAGGGTCCAGGACTTCTTAGTGGTCAGGGACCACATTCTTTCCTCTGCCTTTTCGCTGAGCTAGGTTTTTGTAAAGAGATTATTGGCTTCTCCCCTTGGGTGTGCTGCCACCTTCATCTCAAACTTAGAACCCCAAGAGTCCTACATAGCGAGACAGTTGGCATTTTTCAGTGATTTCTAAGGGGTCAGAGGTGGTGGTGGGTCTTTCACAGTCCTTGCAGCCATTCTCTTGAGGGCCTTCTTTTGCTAACATTTTAAAACTGGAGTCACACTAAGGGATGTACCTTGTGTTCCTGTACTAGACATTTCATGATTAAGATATTTTTTTAAATTCTTAAAGTTGGATTTACTTATTATTTGAGCTCATTTCTGTTCCTAGTTAAAATGGCCTGTGTGGTGTGTCTGGTCTCTTATCCAGTGTATCTTATCTGTTCCTTTTAAAATTTTATAGCATCTCATCTATAACACTATATGTCTGGTTCTTCTTTGAAAGTTGAATTTAAATGGAAAAATAAGTTAGTGCATCTGTATGGTATTTTTCACAAGAATGGAATAATGTACAAACACAATAAGGTCAGTTGTCATCACCATATAATACTTAGTATTCTAAGGGGGTGGGGAGAAGAAAGCCTTGATCCTTCCACCCAACACATCCTGTATTCTGCTACCTCATTCTACCTTTTCTCTCTCAGTCTTAGGAAAGGTCCTCAGTGCTGTAGGCAGTGCCCAGCTACTCATGTCCCAGAAGTTCCAGCAGTTCCGGGGCCTCTGTGAGCAAAACTTGGTGAGTGTGATTCTTCCTCCACAGAGATGCTTCCATGCTGTGGCTACTGAGACCAGCCAGCCTCTAACATAGAGATGGTACCCCAACCTCATGCCTGTTAGAAAGGTGACATACATCAATGCAGTGCCCAACACAACAGAGAGGCCCGAAGAATGGCCTCCCAGCAGCCTTTCTAAATAAAACAAACTTTGTTTTGGGGGGGAAAAGCTGCATGTGAGCTAAAAATCAGTTGCACTGAGTAATACAGGATGCACCCTATGTCTAAGAATACTCTCAAGGTAAAGACTAAAGAGTACCTCCCCTACGCTTAGTGGGCCTTCTGGGCCCTCCGTTACCTGGTAAGAGGGCTTGTCCAACAAAGCTTTTCCCAGGAAATCTCTTTCCGGCTACCCTGTACTCTGGGAGTGGACACATGGGGAGCCTCTGGGACATGTTTACAGGGGTGGCAGTCAGTGATGAGGAATGTGCTGGCACAGCTATTGTAACCAGGCACAAATCTCCCCTTACCGGTGGGATGTCTGTTCCCTCTCTGTAAATGAAAGCATTCATCACTCTGGGATCTCTTCTGTGCACTGAATGCAGGGCAGGGCACATAAGAGCCTTCTTGACCCACACACAGTTGAGGCTCGGTAATGACTTCAGACCACAAGTGTGCTCTTCAGCAGCCTCTTACAGGTGCAGGCAAGCCAAGGGGACCCTCCTTGCATTGGGATGCAGGGTAAGTCTCTGCCTTGCTAGTCTGATTGCCATCTTCTCCACAGAACCCCGATGCCAACCCACGTCCCACAGCCCAGGACCTGGCAGGGTTCTGGGACTTACTACAGCTGTCCATCGAGGACATCAGCATGAAGTTTGATGAACTCTACCACCTCAAGGCCAACAGCTGGCAGCTGGTGGAGACCCCCGAGAAGAGGAAGGTGAGCATGGAGCAGTGCGGAGGGGAAGTCCAGGGACAAATTCCTGGTCGGCAATAACGCTGCCCACATCGGTCAGTGCTGCTTGGCTCCTTCTCCGTGTCGTCTTTCAGCTGGGGGTCGCGTCCATCAGTGTGTGGGGTCCATGCTTGGCACTCGTCCAGCATGCTGCTTGCTCTGTTTAGATAAGGCTGCCCCCCCCAAAGCATGCTGCCCTGCATGTTCAGAAATGGGGCTCCCGAGGGATACACCCCTCACCCTTGGAAAGAGCAAAATCATCATTTCTCCTGGCCCAGGCTGCCTCTTCCTTGAGGCCCAGGCTTCCTCTGGAATAGTACCTGAGCCGTGGCCTGGGAGTTATTTAAGTCTCCTCTCTGGATGACTCCTGGCATCTCATGCTCCCAATGGCTTCAAGCAAGGATAGGAACAAGTGATCTTTGTGGCTCTTCCTGCTAGAACATTCCTGGGTCCAAGCTTGCCTTCTGCACATCCCACTACCATTGCTTCTTGTGACTTCCTGATTCCAAATATGTGTTGCTTGTGCCCAATGCGGGGGATGCTGGGGTGGAGACTCTAGCCGCTGGCATGGGGGAACTAGTGCCACACAAAATGTGGCACCTTTATTTTATTTTTGTTCCCTCCTCACTGTCTCACTAAAGGAAGAGAAGAAACCACCCCCTCCGGTCCCAAAGAAGCCAGCCAAATCCAAGCCAGCCATGAACCGAGACAAGGCCTCAGACGCCGGGGACAAACAGCGCCAGGAGGCCCGCAAGAGACTCCTGGCAGCTAAGCGGGCTGCTTCGGTGCGGCAGAACTCAGCCACAGAGAGTGCAGACAGCATTGAGATTTATGTCCCCGAGGCCCAGACACGGCTCTGAGACCAGGAAGGAAACGATTTTAAGTCATTAAAAACACTGAAAAACTCAATGCAAATGGAACAAAATTTTTCTCAACCTTTAGTAGGATTATTCTATCTAGAGACCCTGAGCCAACTTTCAAATTGATGCATACAAGGGCTCACAATGTGGCTTTTTTGGGTCCCTCCCAGCTTTAGGTTATGAAGACATCACACACATACACAAAAGTCAACATGAAACTTTTTTTTTTCCTCTTGCTGGCCGTGGTGACTAGATAGATGGACTCCGGCAACTCCCCGACCCAGCCTCCAGACTGCGGTCTTTTTACTCATTCTGTCTAATGAGAACTTAAACTAGCTTGTTTACAAGACGACTGTCCAAGGGCAGCCTTGGGCACCTACCATGTCCTTCCTGTTCCCAGCTCCCCCCCTCTGACCCTGGGTTTTTGCTCTTCTGTTTATCTTTTCCCTTCGGAGCTCACACAGGGGTCCCCCTCCTATATTATACTTTCTGGTTCTTGGCCCCTTTGCGGTCGAGGGCCAAGAGAGGCTCACCCCCCTAAGCTTCCTGGCCAAATGCTCACACACTCACACACACGTAGGTTCCTTCTCACAGGCCCAGCACTGCCCACTGCCATTCCAGCCCTTGGCAGTGGCAGGTGGGTGACATGCCTCTAAGCAGATGAGGAAAGCTGGAAAATATTTAGGGGGAAAAAGATAAAAGCCACAGTTTTCACATGCCAGACTCCCACCTTTTTCTTCTCTCAGCCCCTTCCTCAGCAAAAGAGAATTTATGACCAGCATGTGCTCAGGAGAAGGACCCCATTTTCCAAGGGGTTGTCTGTCCTCAGCTGAGCCTGTGTACAGTCCCCCATGGGGCGGGCAGCTGTGTCTGTATGTACGTGTACATATGCACATAGACCCTTAGAGTGTATATTTAACAAATGCCCATCTGCTCACCCATGCCAGCACCTCCACTGTCTCTCGGGGCACCAGCTGGAGGTGGGTATGTGAATAGCATATATTTTTACATGTACTATATCTAGGTGTGTGTACAAGTGTGTGTAAAAATATATACCTTGTGTGTAAGCAGCCCTCCCCCCTTTTTTTTCTTTTAGTCTCTCACCCTGCCCCCTCTCCTATGGGCCCCTCTGCCCACCCTCAGTTTTCTGTTCTGTTCTTTTTTGTTTCTGGTTTTGTTTTCACCTCAGTTCTATCTCTCCTCTGCCCCTAACCCCCACTCCCAGGGTGTCATGAGCCCTGAGCTGCAATGGCCTGGGTCTGCAGGGTGGGGTGGGGAGGGCAAGGCAAGGGCAGGCCATGGGCACAGGAGCCAGGCAAGGCTGCACTCAGCACGGGAGGGGCTGCTCTATACTGTGTATACGACTTTATGGCATTGGAGACATCCTCTTGTCCGGCACTAGCTGCAGGGGCCCTAGTGAACCAAGGGCCTACTCTGGGCTGCCCTTGGGCCCCATTCCAGCTTGGCCGCTGTCTGTGACCTTGGGCAAGTCACTTGACCTCTGTGTGCCTCAACTTCCTCCTCTGTAAAATGGGGACAGCCCCTGCCCCTCCCTACCTCACAGGCATGTTGTGAGAATAAATGAGGTAACGTGTTCCAAGAGCTCGTGGTGTCTTTGCAGTGGGATGGCAGGCTGGGAAGAGGTGGGTCGCCATGGACCCTGCAAGAGACTAGGCCAGAATGCCCCCCAGAAGGCAGCTCTTTAGAGACATGCTGACCAGGTTCAAGGCCTAATTCTAGGTGGAACACACCACTGATTCTGGCTTGGAAAATGCAGCTCTCTTTTCTGCCTTTGGAAAGCAGGGACACATTTACCTTTGCAGCTTCTCACAAGAAGGAAGTGCTGCTAAAGAAATAGATGCTAGAACAGCCCTTCGTTTAAACACTGTCCTTGCTGACAGTCCACACCCTCTAAGGGCTGGGCATTCCACATCCCCCAGCAGCTGCTTCCAAGTTGATGTGTGGAATGTGGATTCCCACCTCTAACCCTCCTAGGTCAACAGCAGCAGCTCCCTCAAGGCCCTGCCCTACCCTCCCCTGTAGCCTGTCACTTGGCTCCTGACCCCATGGATATTTCCTGGTAAGCTTGGAGCAGTAGAAGTTTGGTGAATGAAATGTCTACCTACCTGTTCGCCGGGGCCCTGTACTGGCCCTCTGACCAGTACTGCATGCCTGTTACTGTCTCTCGACCCTGACTCCCTTCTCCAGAAATGAGGAAAACACAAGCCCTCACCTTCCTGTGGGCATAGCTAGACAAGGGGCTGGGCCAGTCCAACAAGTGAAATGTCCCAACAGTATGTCTGGCCCAGGAGTTGGGGTACTTCTCTTATACAAGGGGTCACCCAGTGCCAGGCCATGGCCAACAGAGCTGCCAAGTACTACTCAACCCAGAACAGCTTTGGCTATCCCTCCTCCCAAGTGGCCCAGACAGCATTTGAAGGCACTGACACCTGGCATGGGTATTAACCAGGGCTTTTCCGCTCCTTCCTTTCATTTCCCTATTGTTAAAAAAGGATCTAAATCAAAGCTGAATACCCAGTATAGTAAATACCATATTTCGTTAGCCCCAGTGTCACCAGTTTTGCCTTACTGGTTTTATCCCTTTTGGGACATATGGGCACACACACTCACTTTTTTACCCTGACGCATGTGAAAGCCAGTTTTAAATATTACAAAGCACAACACTTCATCCCCAATATACACTATGCAACTCCTAAGAACACATGCAAGCCTACACCATCACAATGCCATCACTACTCAGACCGAAGGCAGGGGTGGTCCAGGGGACCTCCAGTAATCCAAGTACTAGCACTGCCTGCAGCACAGTCCATATTCCAATTTCCTGCTCATTCAAATTGTGTTCTTCATGGTCTCACCTTTCTCAGTTATGTCTCTAAGTTTTTTCATCAAAACCCACTCTCCATCCTTTTGCTTTGTTTCTTCAGTACTGTGTTATTTACATCAATATATAAAAACTGAGCAACTGTTGAAGAGTGAGAGAAACGAAAAACCTCTCTAAAAGCTCAGGAAAATGGCACAGCAAAACTCCAAACACTTTGATTATAAACCCCTCAAAAACTTCTCTGGCTTAGGGAGCTCTGGTGGCCTAGAGGCAAGAAGCTTTGTTACAATCCAGAAGGCATGCAGGTTCAAATCCACCAGGTGCTCCACTGGAGAAGGAGGGGCAATATCCTCCTGTGCCAGTTGGATCTGATTCGATGATATACAACAATAACAACAACAAAAATAAACCCAAAAAACTTTGGCTTGACACAGGACACCTTTATGAAACCCACAGCTAACTCAGACATGAGTGGTGAAAGTCAGAACACTTTCCTTGTAAGATCAAGAACAAATCAGACAGGAATGCCCAATCTCACCATTTTTACTCAGCATTGCACTGAAGCTTCTGACCAGGGTGACTAGTCACGAAAAAAAAAAGCCTGGACAGGAAGACATTCTGTTTTCAAAATACATGATCCTAAGGAGTACACATAACTATTAAGCTAATACAAGCTCAACATAAATCCATTATACTACAGAATATTAGCTATAAGAAATCTAGACAGTTAAGTAATTCCATTTATATTCACTCATGGCTGATCCTCCAGCAGGTTTTTGGGAGGCTGCAAATTTCACAGAATGCCCACCTGTGGAGCTGCTGATGGATTCTAAGAGCTGCCACTTTGGAGTTGGCAGGGCAACCCCCTACCAACTAAATCATCATTGCTCCCATCCATTTATTAGCATCAAACAAATTAAAATACTTAAGAATAAATCTAACCAAGGAATTAAAAGACCTGCACACTGAAAACTGCACAATAATCTACAACCAGGAGAAGATAAAATAGATGAATGGAAGCTTCTAAAAATTAAATCCCTAAGCACATCCAAAATCTCCAACAGGGTAACAAGGGAGGAAGCCACAGATTGGGGGAAAAGTATTTGGTAATGACATGTCAGATAGGAGACTTATATCTAGAATTTATAAAATACTCGAGCACCACCACAAGGTAAACAACCCAAATGAAAAATGGGCACAGGATATGAACAGACCCTTCACCAAAGAAGACATTCAGATGGCAAACAAACACATAGAGAAATGTTCAAAATCCCTAGCTCTAACAGATGCAAATCAAAAGAACTGTGAGATATCATCTCACTCTAGTAAGAATTGCAAAATTTAACAGAACAAACAAATGCTGGCGAGGCTGTGGACAAACTGGAACCCTTATTCACTGTTGGTGGGAGTGTAAAATGGTGCAACCACTATGGAAGGCTGTATAGCACTTTCTCAAAAAGTTGCGAATAGACATACCATTTGACCCAACAATTCCACTACTAGGAATATACCCCAAAGAGACCATAACTGACACCCAAGCAGATACATGCACACCCATGTTTATTGAGGCTTTGTTCACAATAGCAAAGAGTTGGAAACAACCTAAGTGCCCATCCACAAACAAATGGATAGAGAAGCTGTGATATATAGTCACACAATGGAATACTATGCTGCTTTGAAAAATAAGGAACTCGTGAAATAAACAAAATTGATGACCCTAGAGGACATTATGCTGAGTGAACTATCTCAGTCACAAAAGGGCAAATAAATACTGCATAGTGCCACTGTTGTAAAACCGGACTGACATTGGGGTTGGGGGAAGACTGAGAAATATGGGATAAATCATGTAAACTGCATTGAAACAGATAAGGGAGAGAACTGTTGAAAAGGGATATATGATTAGGTATTATTGTCATGACAGGAGTCCAGAACAAAGGCTGCATAGTGGAATGGACTTGGGGGGAGGGATTGTATAACAATGAAAGAATTTT